AGCAGACCCCTTCAAGGTGGTGGGGAAGACTCTACACATGATCTAATCAAGCATGTTGTAGAGTTGCATGAGAGATTTGTATGTGTCAAGATGATCTAGAGGGTCCTTGGTACCATCAAAGATCTCGATGACAGACATCTTGAATTTTGAGGGTAGGGGTAATTGACAACATCCGCAACAAACGGTGTATCCATGCGCCTTACCAAATAATCCACCATCTCCAGTGCCTATGCTTTAATGGCTTTGAGGGCATCGCCAAGCTTGTTTTACACTTCCTTGATCTTCTCATCCCCTTAGTTGGGGATATTCCCCGTTAGATCATTGTAGTGGCTTTCATGATCAATATACTGGTTCTCTCCATCATCCTCCTGCCTAAGATAGTTGGTAGCATGTGGAGCAGGTACATGAGGAGGGGGAACATGTGAGGCACCTGTATGCTGAGGAGGGACTCCCTGGCGAGGGGTGCCCTGGCTCTGCATGGGGATGCCTTGGCGCTGGGGGGCGCCTTAGAGCCCAAAGTAGAGAAGTTGTGGTACTTCTCCTATTGAAGAGAGTGGTGTTCCTCCTATAGGATGAGGGTCGATGCCTCCCGAGGCGAGCATAAACTAAATAATATACTGGTTTTGGTTTACCAACAACTGCATGATCTCTAAAAGCTATTGCCCGACTATGGGAGTTGCACAGTGGATGATTCTGCAGATACAGGCAGAGGCAGAGCCTGAGCCTTTTCTTGGCGTGTTAGGTTGTTGTCCTCTGGTTGTTGATTCATCGACCTGGTCGTGATTGCTATGGATTTGAAAGATAGTAGCAAGGTAATAAAAAACTCAGTCGTTTCTCACAGACGGTGTCAAACTGATGATACACAAAACAGGCTTATGCACAATCAACAGTCGAGTATGTGATTTCGGGTAATTAATGAGACAATCAATAAGCAATTAATAGTAAAAGATAAATACTGAGTCAACACACAGATATATAGTAGTTCGGTTAAGGTGATTTACTCAACTTTAAAGATAACAACGGTAGCCAATGTTCTTTATTGATGAAGTAGTAGGTGAGAGAGAGAGAGAGAGAGCGAACAAAGATGAGCTCTGGGAGAGATATGATAACTAAGAGAGAGAAATAGCTATGAGAGGGGTGTGTAGAGAGATCTAGAGATGTTCCTCTCATATAGAGAGAGCTTACATTTATAGGCACAAAACTTTGGTTAAGACGATGACGTGAGGGTAAAGATACTAGTTCTATGGGGAGGATAACTACAATTAAGGATATGTACAATTAAAGATATCCTTGATATTTGAGAGTGACTATCTCGATAATTACTCTCCACTTACGCTAATCTTCTTGGACTCCTTGAACTCTAGTATAGGCCGAATCCATGAACTAAGTTTGAACTGCCATGTAACAAATTTGGGCTTATTTAATTACTTGGGTCTGACCCAATCGAATCGGGGCTCATCAACTCCAACTGACCAAGTGTGACTTCAGCATGATCTCTCCTAGTTGTTAACCCCTCGAAGTTAAACACCGCTTCCAGTTCGCAACAATCATCGACATGAAGGAATTCAAGATTTGGAAATAGTTTTTGCTGACCAGGTGCAACAACATTGAAAACCTTTTCACAATACGACACATCCAAGCCTCTTGGTTTGTGGAAGGACCATCCTTGCATTTGGTAGTCTACTATGTGCACCACACTGATTCGTTGGAGATATAGTTTCTCCAAGTTAGGCAGAAAAACCTGCGATTATTTAAAGTTTTGAAGTAAGTGATCATGATAAACTGTATGTATGTCCAATAGCACTTAACTACACATAGCACAGAACAAAAAAAGGAGCTTCATTCAATAAAACTTCAACATATATCAAACCCTCTACATGTTGCGGACAAGTTGCACTTTAGGGGTAGCATTTTTCAATTAAATTTTGACAAATGATATTTGAAAATAAGTCTTTTTAATTTATTTAATTTTCACTCACGATCTTCTGAATTTTTATCCTGACTAACTTTTACCAAACCCTCTAATTTTCCATTTCTTTTTGTTTTTTATTTTTAGTATCTTCAATATTCATAAAAAAACCATGTTGAAGTAAATGATTTTTAGCTTTGGCAAAAATATCAACTTTTAAGGAGGGTCAATAAGATTAAACAAAAGTACTGATCAATATAAAAATGTAAACCACTTTCATAGGTAACTATGCAATCCTCTTTAATATGATTGGAATCTAATTCCAAAACAATAATTGGATGCTAAAGGCATATTTGGATTAAAAATTTTAACCCAACAAAGGGTTGTTTAAACTAGAGTCGATTACATGAATTCTATTTCGTCTTTGTGCTATATTAATTATCATATTTTTCTTTTGAACCACATGCTATCATGGTTGTTTGTGTTAAACTTGTTTCTCCTATGATGTCCTATTGAGGGGCACTAACATTTGTAAAATTATAACTTATCAAATACGTGTTAATATTTGAATTCCCTTCAATTAATTGTATCATCAATATTGTCTTTCTAATCATAAAAAACAAAAAACAAAAAACCATCAATCACTTGTTTTAGTACTATTTGGTGTTTTGAAATTTTTGTTAATAACCAGTGGCGGAGCCAAAAATATGTTAAAAGGTGGGCACACTCTAACTATTTGTCCTCTAATAAGTAAAAATAATGTGATACATTTTATTTTTTTACATCATACTTGATACTTAAAGATTGATTAAACATAGAAGGACCAAAAGTAAGTATACAATATCTATGCAAACAAAAAAACATTACAAAAAAGAGGTTAATTATAGCCGTTTACAAAAAAATGAGGTTAAGTATATAAGGGATGTGATGAAAATATCAATATCAAAGTCATAACTTGTAATATCAATACCAAAATTTGAAGGCTACGGCGCGTGATACTTCATTGATTACTGGGGCTTTGTTTGCTTTAATGCTTTTGGGCAGAACTTGAGAATGGAGTGGGCCAAACTTTTTTATTATAAATTTCTTTTTTTTTATTATTGACTCCAAGAGATTGTTCTCCCAAGGGACCCAATTTTATTTATTTATTTAAAGATATCAGGGTGGGCACAATTGAAGATATTAAAAAAAATATACAAGACATACATAGGTAAAAAATAATAATAATAAGGTGGGCCTGGGCCCCCTGGCCCATGTGTGCCTTGCCACTGTTAACAACATTTTAATAATTAAATAAATTCCCTTTTTCAAAAAACTTAGTCGCCACAGCATTTTACGATCAACATAAAAAAAAAAAAAAGTTAGGTGACATACCTCAAGGGTAATTGACTATTTTTTTTTCACAAGAAGCATATATAATATCTATTGCTAGTCACATGTTTGTAATACCATTTTATAACAAATAAATTAACATTTCTAACAAATGCAATATGATATGCATAAGTATATTTAATGTTCCATTCTAACAACTAATTCTATAAAAAAAATTAAGAATTTTGATTAAGTACTAACGCAATAGAATTCGTAATAATCTCCAAAGAACCAAGTAGGTTCGTTAAAAAAAAATAACTTGGAAGTGGGGGAGAGTATGTGTGTACGTTTGTAGTTTTTTTTTTAAAAGNAGAACAAAAAAAGGAGCTTCATTCAATAAAACTTCAACATATATCAAACCCTCTACATGTTGCGGACAAGTTGCACTTTAGGGGTAGCATTTTTCAATTAAATTTTGACAAATGATATTTGAAAATAAGTCTTTTTAATTTATTTAATTTTCACTCACGATCTTCTGAATTTTTATCCTGACTAACTTTTACCAAACCCTCTAATTTTCCATTTCTTTTTGTTTTTTATTTTTAGTATNGACATAATTTGTTGATCAAATTCACTATGACTTTTGGATTTACTGTAGACCCCATCAAACATTATAATTTGGTATTAATCCAATGATTCTTATGAAGTTACATCATTATGTCAGCAAATTAANGGAACAAAAAAAGGAGCTTCATTCAATAAAACTTCAACATATATCAAACCCTCTACATGTTGCGGACAAGTTGCACTTTAGGGTAGCATTTTTCAATTAAATTTTGACAAATGATATTTGAAAATAAGTCTTTTTAATTTATTTAATTTTCACTCACGATCTTCTGAATTTTTATCCTGACTAACTTTTACCAAACCCTCTAATTTTCCATTTCTTTTTGTTTTTTATTTTTAGTATCTTCAATATTCATAAAAAAACNTAGAATTTCTTACTTTCTATTGCTTTCTTTAATCATAAATGCATTACAAGTATCAGCAAGTTAAGGTATTCATTTCTAAAGTGTCCTTCATCTTTAACAAAAAACCTTTTCCCTAAATTATTTACTTTTTCACAGATGAAAATAAATTTGGGATGGAGGGAGGGAGTTTTATTCTTGCCTTCTCACAAACATGTTCATTTCTAAGTTGTTTCCCACTAAAGGCTGAGGTGTGATGTGTGCAAACAAATCAAAATAAAGTGAAACATGTCAGTGTTGTGTTAAAGTAATTTTGGAGATATATTCAAGAAAGAGAAGCACACCTGTTTGGGAAACAAAATATCTGAGTTGGAGCAAAAGCTTCTAAGCATGTCCAGATCTTCCAAACGCAAGTACTTCAGTTTTGGGAAAACGATGGTTTTAGAATCTTTTTCATCTTCTCCTCCTTCCTTTGCAACAATGTATTCCACTTTCTTACACCGAAATAGATGTAGTTCTTGGAGTTGCACCAAACATTTGACCATGGACTCTGGAAATAGACCCTTCATTGCAGGTAGGTACTCTAGCTTCAACATTTGCAGTTTTCCAAAGGCAAAGGTCTCCGCCGGAATATCCCTACAAATAAGATATTCGAGCTCATCACAATGAGAAACACTTAGTTCCTCCCAGCTTACCGAATCATCTACATCAAGGGCATCGAAAATATTACTTCCCAAGCCTTTCAGATTTAGAAACGAGACATGTTTGGATCTCTTCAACAAAACTTTTATCCCAAAGTCATAAAGCATACCCAAGTCACAATCATTGAGACTCAAGCTGTTTTGTAACCCGTAGCCTTCCGACAGACGGAATAACAACAGATTGAATGACACCGGAGAGCCAATTGTTATGCGAAATCTTCTCAGGTTATCAAAGCAAAAGTGTTTCAATTTTAGCACAGCAGTTACACTTGTGCAAATATCTAACGTGTTCAGATAAGACATTGAGTTCAACTCTGCAATGCTATCATTCACGTCATTTTCGCCTGCATACAACTCTTCAAGTTTATCCAGCTTGGACAAAATATTTGGCGAAATTCTTCCAGGGCGTCCCGCAAACCTCAAATCCAATATTTGTAGATGCTCAAGTTGTCCAATTTCACTCGGTAATTCCTCAATGTAAGATTTAAAAAAGCTGAGAACTCTCAAGCTCTTTAGGCTTCCAATCATGGAGGATGTGTTATTGTCCAGCCGGCAAAAATCCAAACACNTAGTCTGTCAAACAAGACATGTTTGGAGCTTTTCAGCAAAATTTTTATCCCAAAATCATAAAGCATACCCAGGTCACAACCATAGAGACTCAACTTGTTTTGTAACCTGTAGCCTTCCGACCGACCGAAGCCAAGTCCAATGGAATTCCACATGAAAAAGTTTTCCACCCGACGGACTGGGAAAAGAGAACCAATTATTAAGCAAAATCTTCTCAGGTTATCAAAACGAAAGTGTTTCAATTTTAGCATAGCAGTTACACTTAAGCGAATATCCAAAGTGTTCAGATAAGACATTGAGTTCAACTTTGCAATGCTAGAATTCTTGTCATTTTCTGTTTGATGAAATAGAAAACTGCCTACATACAACTCTTCAAGTTTATCCAGCTTGGACAAAAGATCCGGTGAAATGCTTTCAGGGCGTTCCACAAACCTCAAATCCAATATTTGTAGATGCTCAAGTTGTCCAATTTCACTTGGTAATTTCCCAATGCAAGATTGAAAAAAGCTGAGAATTCTCAAGCTCTTTAGGCTTCCAATCATGGAGCATGTGTTAGTGTCCACCCGGCAAAAATCCAAACACAATGTTCGAATATTTTGCAAAGATTTGAGTGGTTGTGGTGGAAGCTGAAGGAACATTGATCTTAAATCAACAACTTTGAGTTCTTTCATCCCTACAAAAAAATCTATTGAGTCAACTCTGGTGCAACTCTCATTAGTACAGTCGTATCGAGGATCAAACTTGCATTCCACCTGTAAAAGCTTGAGGTTCGGACAATCTAATCCAGTAGGAAGCTTGTCCAATTGGTCGAACATCAATGAAATGGCTGAGTAATGTTTGAATGTATCTTCTTGTGGCCACTCTTTCAGTCCTGCATGGCACCTTACCAAATATGCTTCCCTACCTTTAGATGCAATTGATATGCATACATCGCGTACAACATCATGTAACTTCACTTTCTCTTTATCACAGGGGAGTATCAAGTAACGACTTTTGAGTTGATCGTTTAATGAGTACACCATATCTCTTGCTTCTGCCACAGTATCAATTTTTTCAAACAAACATAGCCCTACCACATATCTAACCAAACACTCAAGAGGAATATCAGAATCTTCCGGAAATAAACTGTAAAGTCGAAGCAATGACTTGGCTTCTTCTTTGTTCAACAGATTGTAGCTCAACTCTATACTAGTCTGAACCTTTTCTGGCAGTCTATTACACCTCTGTAGTTCTCGAAGTGCATTATTCCACGAATGCTCCTTTTCACTTTTCAGTGCCTTGGCGAGAGTTACAATTGCAAGAGGTAACCCTCCACATTCATTTGCAACCGCTTTTGCTATGGACTGTAGCTCAGTGATGTCATTAGTAATTCCCGTCAACTTCTTAAAAAAATTCCATGCTTCGTCTTTAGGTAGGACTTGGACTACAATGTTTTTTTGAGATCCCATCTCAATACAAACACGTTCATTTCGAGAAGTCAATACAATTGTGCACCCTTTTTGGCCACCTCCAAAACAAATTCCAAGTTTTTTCAAATCAATTTCTTCCCAAACATCATCTAATATTACAAGAATTCTTTTGCCATTTGACAATCTTGTGCAAAGTTTATCTGCTCTCGCAAGAAGACTGGTTTTATTCTCAAGGCTCAAACCCAACATGTTTGCTATGTCACCTTGAATTTTTATCAAGTCTTGATTGTTGGACACAGTAGCCATGGTAACCTCATCAAATAA